TTTATAATTTTTTTAAAAAAAATTTACCAAAAACCTAACTATCATAATTTTTTTTTTATTTTGAAACTTTATTGTAATCCTCCCATATATTTTCCCAGGTCTATATGTGCAATGTTTTCTAGGCTCTTGCCAAAGTTAATGAAAGGATATGAAGTGATATTATTTATTAATTATAAGATTATTTCTCTAGTTTTTTGAGCTATGAAATAACTTATTAAAAACTGAAGGTTAAAGGAGAATTTTTCCCTTCAATTATTCATGTTGAAGTGGCTGCATAAATTTTTTTGTGATGCAATGTTCTCATACAACAATTAAAAGCGATACAATATTTTTCCTGTTGTTAAGAAAAATTAACTTTGATCATTAATTAATTTAAAAATTATAGAAAATGAGCTAAAATTACAAATAAAAAGAAACTAAAAAATTACAAAATAAAGACTTTATAATAAAATTAATTTTGATTAAGACTTCTAAATTACAAATAAATATAACGAGACACTCTCTCTATTAAAAAATATAAAATATTTTTTAAAGAATTGGATGTTAAAAAATATAAGAAATTTTTAATCTTTTAAAATGCAATCATTGTCTTTTTTTAAAAGTGCTCCTATTGATAATAATTTTATATTTATTATAGGGTGTTTAATAGGGATAAATATAAAAAAGATAATATTAGTTGAAAAGTGGTTAACTAATTTATTGATAGATGAGATTTAATTAAAAATACCTTATATTTTTAAATAGAGAAAGTAAGTGTTATTTTTTACCATATAAAAAACTAAAATATCATTTGACTAACTATTTTGATGGGCTATCGGATGATTGTCAGATCATCATTGATGGCAACAACATAGGTAATTAATTAAAAATATATTTTTTACTAATAACTTATTACAATATTAATTCTTTGATATTTAATAAATCTTACCGATGTTTTTGGCAATATAAAGAAATGATATTATGATAATCACTCCATAGTTGGTTAAAAATAGTTGGTCAAAATAGTATACTAGTTTTTTACATAGGTAAAAATAACAATATTTTCTTAAAATTTATTTATAATTTAAGTAATTTAATTAATATTAATTTTTTATACAGTCTGATGTCCTTGTGAAACTTAATCTTTTTAACGTAATTGCACCATTATTATAAATTTAATTGTTCTAATCAGTGACTTTCAATCCAAGTGAATCTAAATAGTATAACTATGAAAGAATGTTCCCCTCGTTATCTTAAAGGCATGAAAAAAAAAATTAATGAATGGAGATAGTTTTTAGACATTAGGATCATTTGAAGTAACCAAATGAGCAATATATAACGAATCATGGTAGCGAATAAGTTGTTATGCAAGCATTTTTTTATAACATTTATTAATAAACTGAACCACGTAACAAAATATAATAATAAAATATGTTTTAAAAATTATATTATATTGAAGGACAATAAATGTATAAGATCAAAAATGGGAATTAGCTGTGGGTAACCAAATAATCTAGGCTTAAGATATGGTGTCGGGTTCCGTGGTATCACCTGAGGCTGAGGTGGACGCCAATGAAAAGAATCAAAAGTTCATGAGGAATCATTGTAGCCCACTCACGGAACCTTGTGGGTTCCGTTGACTCAGGTTGGTTCATCTGTAAAATGGGCCAGCTCAACTTGTGCTCTAATGCACTAGTTGCCTCACATTCGGCTTAGTTCGAGGTAATACATCCCTAATCTTCTTGCCTTTTTTTTTTTTTTAAAGAAAATCGCAAACAAGAACTTGCAAAAAATGTTATTTATATATAACAAACACTATAAAATAAATTATTATTAAAATAAAAATACAGACTTGCTTTTTCTCAAATAATGGCTTGTTATTGGTTATTGTTTGCAAATAACATTCTTTATAAGTCCTCGTATGTGATTTTCCCTTTTTTATGGGATAAAATGGAATGCTTTGTTAAAGAAGAATGATCTAGTTGGTAAGAATTTAACTTATAATTTACAAGCTCATTCGTGAGATCAAATCCCACTATTAATGTTAGGATTTTGTTGATAAGCGATTTATAAATCCCACTAGTTGGTAAATGACTGGTGTTTATGAAAAGGATATGTTGTATATGATAGAAGAGTATTTTTGAAGTATAATAACTTTACTCACTTTTAGTTGTGCATGTTAATTAATAGTACTAAATTATTTGATTACTAAGATATTTATCTCATCCCTAGTTATATTTTACAGGTGAAAGCTCTAGTAGGGGCAAGAGGAAGGAAGGAACAATTAAAGATTAAAGAGCTTTGTGTATATAGCTCTTCTCTTTTCTATTTTGGGTTTGTAATGAATATGTCATGTTGTATGCCAACTTAAGAGTATCACATTGTTTTGTTATCACTTGTATAAGGATTTATGAAATATGTGCATTTCTTGATCTAAGCCTGTAGTAATTGTGATTAAATGAGTGTGTGCAACTAAGATACTAGTACAAGTGATATATTTTTTGATGGTTTATATGTTGAATTAACCAAAATTATATTTTAGTTGAATTTGATGCACCTAATTACATTGTTAATAATTGAGAGTTTGGTGGTCAATTTGAATATGTATGACTATTTGTGTGATATGATTGGCTATATATGCTATGTGTGGTCTATTTGAGTTGGTCAAAGTGATTCTAGAGCAAATGGCACTTGGTGTGGTCCATTTGAGTTGGTCAAAGTGATTCTAGAGCAAATGGCACTTGATGGTGTGAGTTGGACATCTTTGAATGTGTTTTAAAGTGAAAAAGGACCACTTTGAGTTCAAGTGTTCCTCTTTTTAATAGATGATTATTTGAGTGTAGGACTAGTGCCATTAGTTAAAAAGCTTAAAAAGCTTCATGTGGACACTTGGAATTGATGAAATCAGATGTTGGATGGAAAATGCAGTACTTTGGAACTTCAGAGTGTTGTCATGATAGTGGACTCGAGCCACAGCACATAGCAATTGCATTGCGGTGTAATGCGCATCAAGGGACCCGTCTCTCTGTGCCATCCGCTGTGGTGGGTGTGGCTTGCATCACGACTGATGGGCCAGTTTTTGGAGAAAATTCCAGACTATTTCACATTGTTTCAAATGCTAATTGTTTTTTATGCTTCCGTTATTCAATTTGATTTATTTTAAATCATAGTTTGAGCTCAAATAATTTTTTAAAAAGGGTTTTCTTGAATTCTAATATTTTAAATTAATTACTTTTAAACTTTTGGGTTGTAATAACTTTTATTTAAGATTTTAATTAATCTGATTTATCATAAAAGCATGCTAAAGTGTTGTTCTGATAATATCAAGGAGGACATTACAAATGTCATTATAGTGGTTGGAACTTGGCTCAAGGTTCAGATCTTACTCCAATAGCAAGAAAACTACCAAGAAAAAAGGTGGAGAAGAGAGAGAGAGAGAGAGAGGGGGGGGGAGAGGACTAAGAGAGCTTAGCAACCTAAAAAGTCCTCCAAACTTGAGCAAGACAAACTCTAACAAAGCTCCCCATAATCCCCTCTCGACCACTCACTCAAAAATTATATTTTGTCTTTTGTCCAAATGTAATACTACAGATTTTAAATTTCGACATGTTCACCATAGCGAATAATGCTATCAATCGCAATGAATGACATATTTCAAGAACCTTAACTTAAACTCAATAAATTAGGCCATGGCGAATAATGCTATCAATTGCAATGAATGACATATTTCAAGAACCTTAACTTAAACTCAATAAATTAGGCCTATGGCCTAATAACATCCAAGGTTAGAAATAAAACTTATATAAGGCCTTAGAGAACCCAAAAGCCATTCAACTAGCCCAAATTAGTTTGATTAGAGCCTGCATTAGTCATTTAAATTTCCTAATTAACTTAATCAACTTTATTTTAAAATTTGAGATGTTATAAGGTGTAACCATAGGCAAATCAATATCCATGCCAATAACATCATTAAATTTATATCTAATTTCAACAAGAAGCTTTTGCCTTTGTCTTTAAATTAGTTTTCTTCACTTCCTTCCTTCCTTTCTATCCATTTTGTCATTTCTTTGCCATTTTTTTACTAGCTAAGGAAAATGATAGTCCTTCCACGACCTACATAGAAAGACCGGCAAATTGATTGCATCGTAGTTGGAAGGATTTGATCTTCCTTGGTGTAGGTGATTGGAGGATGCAAAACCCTAGTAGAGGGTTCATCGCTGCTTATCCTTCCTCTATGTTGTCCAACAAAGAGGCAATTAAAAGAATAAAAAATCATATCATTCTTATGATCCAAGGTAAGTAGAAGTTTGTAAATAAATTATACTGAAGAGACCCACCTATATTCCCATATTTGTTTACTCTTTGTGTTGACTTGGAATGTGTTACCAAATTTAAGATGAAATGAAATGAAACGTTTATTAATGAAATGTGGTAGAAATGTAATGGAACGCAACGTAGAGGTAAAAGAAGTTGATTGTTTAGGAGTTTTATTGTGAACAGAAATATTTAGTTATTATCTAGGACTAACTGCAAAATGAATAAAAATGGAACAAATTATAATCTTTTCAATATTATTGACTAACTAATTTCGAGGAACATAAAAAAATTGAGTTGAAGATGTTGAGCTATTCCCGACCATTCCACTTCCAAGGGCTTATTAGCATAAGGGCAGGCCAACTTCTCTATTTTCAAATTTACCTATGAAAAAAAAAAAGACCTCTTTTACTTTTTAGCTATATTATCGGGGACTGAACCTCGACGACGGATTTGGGTATGCACCCCTCCGACCCGATCATGCCCCATCAATTTAGGTTGGGCCAACAATCCTAAAAAAGGAAAAGAAAAGAGCAAGATGGGCTGTCGAAACCCCTGCTGAAGATTTCACTTGGGGGACGTGGGCCTTTTTTCATTCGGCATCGTATTATTAGGCCCATGACCCAACTTCACGACATGTGAAAAATAAAAAATCGCCACTCCGTCAAAAAATAGAAAATAAAAAATAAAAAAAAATAAACAACTGATCCCATGCGATTATCTATTATTTACAAACACGATTGGCACTGTCGAATCTGGAAAGTTGGGAGGAGCACCTCGATCCAGCACCCAGGATCGGCTTAGCAATCTGTGTCAGAGATCATATTCGCTTGAAAATACTGGGCCAGGTGACTCGGCTGAGTTAGGTATCGTTCATTCTGTCTTTGTTTTCAGGATCGGTCTAACGGCTACTGGCTTTCGATTTCCTTAACTGATTCATATTTGGCCGAGAAGCTTCTCTCTGTCTCCGAGTACTTTCTCTAAATCTTTTTTTTTTTGCTGTCAAATTCACTCGCACGATCCTTGTTTTTGTGGCGGAAATTCGGGTTATTTTTTGATCGATAATTGGTCGAGAATGGTGAATTTGAATGTTCCAGTTGTGCGTATAATTTGCGTGACGCGCTACTTGTTATTTCACCTCTTCGACAACTTCAATTTTTTTTTTAATGCCTGAAAAATCTGGGATTTTTCTGATGATGCGTTTTTTTTTGTTTTTTTGAATTTACGGTGCAGGGCAAAGAGAAACGCAGTAGCTGTACCAACGATGGTGGTGCCGTTGGTTACCTTGCTCCTTGTTGCTTTTATTCCAAACGGGCTGTTAGCCTTGCCATCCACTGTGCCTGCATTCCTGTGGTCGCCCCATCAGGACTTGTGGGCTCACTTACTTCGTTTCGTCTTTTCTTTTTTGCTGTTTTTAGTACTGTTAAGCTGTGTTCTTCAGAAATAAGTAAAAATATATGATAGTGTGCGAGGTACTTTTATAGATGAATTCATTGCTTGAGGTGAATCCTTGAACTATTATGCATACCGGAAGCTTCTTAAAGGGAAACAAAATAGATGGCTAATTTTCTAATTACCCTAGTAACAAGCGAGAAGTTAATGGCTACGAAATCAGTAGTTGCATAATTTAAGTCTGAGTAGTTCAAGAATGTAAACCTGGGTAAACATTAGATATAAGTGGGGTAGCTTGAACAATAGGAGGTAAATCTGATGGAAGAAAGAGATTTCATGGTTAAATCTGGGTGGTACAGCTATGAAAGCTAAATGAAAGAAAGAATTGGTGAAATTCAGGCGCCTCGTGTTGGGGACTGGATCTACAAGTTGGGCCTAAGATGTTACAAGTGGCTGGGGATGAATCGAGAGAGGGGAGTTAGGGCTGTATGGGAAATGTTAATAGATGTTTGGATGAGAAACCATGTACCAAAAGGCATCAAGAAGATTGGGAGAGGAGTATATGTAGGAAAAATCCTAGGCAGGTTTCATATTTGTAAGATTTAAAGTTTATAATAGAAGGTGAAATATAATTTACGTTTAGATATTAGTTAGATTTAAGATTAGTCAGATATTGCTGTTCAACGAGTAGCAAAGCAGGATATTTTGAAACACGAGGTGGGTTTTGCAAAGACAACCGAAGAAAATACAATATGTAGATTATGCAAGTGTTAAATTATGAGTATTGTTTAGATCTGTAAGAAAGCAATATGTATTGTTTAGAATGGAAGGTTAGATTGCTTATTCGTGTACCTTGAAGATAACCTTTAGGCTCTAAGTGTTTTCACTTCTTTTTCAAGCTTAGCTTGCCGTTTGTAAGTCCAAAAAAAAATAAAGAAAGAAAGAAAGAAAGAAAGAAAGAAGGAAAGAATGGAAGGTTAGAGGACTTTTCTGGGCAATAATTATGCAGAGAGAATTTACACAAATTACGCGTGGAGCAATAATAATGAATAGGGAAGGAAACATGGATAAAGAAGCAAAAAAGTAACTTGGCCGATGAGCTTTAAACTTTCTTAATGTTTAAGATTTCTGAACTTGTAGAACTACTGATAATTGTTTTTGTATTGGTCATTACAGGGTTCAAAACAATGGGCTAGAGGGGACTGTAAATTATCAAATTATTTCTCCAAAAGATCTAGCAAATTCTGTTATGTCACAAGCAGGCTGGTCAAATTTACTGGTAGTTCACTGCTTTCTCTTGACTGATTTCTATTTATGCATGTTAAATGTCTCCTTAATTTTCTTCCTTAAGGGAATAGTGCAATCTAATACTTCGCTATTTTGTTAGTTTCTTTTTTATTTTGCTGTTGCTGTAGTGGTTCTAACTTTCTTTTGAATCACATAGTGCAAAGGAAAGGAAATGCAGAAACCTCTGGATTTGGCACTTCTTTTTGTTGGGAAAGCGGTAATATTCTTGAAGCATCTCTTTGAATAGTTCATGTTGATATTTTCATGTTTACGTTTCCAGTTTATTTGATTTAGGGATTCCTGCCCATGAGTTTCATTAATTGAATAACTGGTTCACGTTAGCCCTGCTTTCAAAATTAGATTTTGGAACGAGTCATTTTGTTTAGTTACATTATATAACAATAAATGATTACCAAATCAATGTGATGATCGTGTGGATGTGAAAGTTCAAGAAACCTTTGCTGAAACTATCATTGGTTGCACATGAAATGCAGTCCTTATATATGCTAACTTTGATTTTTCTCCTTTGCAGCTGCAATCTTCAGATTTAAGCTTCAACAAACATGCAGATCCATCTCTTTTAGAATTACTGAAGGTGTGAGAATTGCATCACACTGTCTATCAAGTTTTTGTGTAGAGTATACACAACTTCTGAGGCTTAAAGAATTGATGTTCCAAATTTTGGCTTTGACTTCGTTCCTTTCTCTTGAGCAGAGTTCTTTCACAAAGTCCAACTTTTCCATGGCATTCCCTTATGTCTCAGCATCAGAGGAGGAGAAATTGGAAAATTCGTTGGTCTTAGGATTTTCTAAAGCATGTGGAGATGATTTGGAAATTGATGATGTTATTTTCCTTGGATCTTGTTCCTTGGAAGATGCAAATCATAGAGAAAATGCTGCTGTGCATTCAATTCAAGTAATAACAAAAGTATATGGCATCACTTATTGTGGAATTTTGGATCTTATAATGATGACATGATTCTTTTTTGCCCGTTATAACTGTTAGGATTTTCTGACGAAGAGGATGGAAGATAGTCACAAAGGGGCAACAGATTTGGTTGTCTTTTGTAATGGAGATTCTTTACCTTCAGAAAATGTTGACAATGCACAGTCTGAAGGTAATCTACTGCAAAGTTACATGTTTACTTGATAGATACTCCTTCCAGTCCAAAATATAAGTATTTCCCTTTAGCTAACTTTAGTTCAAAATATAGGCAACCTAGTACATGAACAAAATTTTCACCATTTTATCCCTTGTACTTATTAACCTAGATATTTGTGTAAGTGAATCTCTCACTCATCATAAAGTGCTTTGGTAATTTGAACCAGGGGTAAAAAGGGAAAACAATATATGTTTTTATGGGAATGGGGACTTTATTGATATGTGAATTTTTTTTTTTAAAAAAAGAACTGCTTATATTTTGAACTGGAGGGAGTATATATTGTCTGTGAAACATATATGTATTTTCTGTGTGTATGTGCAGGCAAAATCGTATCTGAGTTTCTCAGTTCTGTGGAGAAGTCTGGAGCAAAATACTCAGTACTCTATGTGTCAGACCCGTCCAGGTCAATCCAGTATCCTTACAGGGAACTACAAAGATTTCTTGCAGAAAGCACCTCAGTGAATAATGCATCAAATGTTACAATCTGTGATGAAGTCTGCCAGATTAAATCATCGCTTCTGGAGGGACTGTTTGTGGTAAGGCCTTATTGCTCATTTTTTACATGTGCTACAGGTTGATTACTTGGGGCTACCAGATGATGTTTCATTCTCTATGAACATACTCATATTTGTTATGCGGATCTGCTGCTTATTTTTGTTCTTGATTTTGTCATACTTATTTCTTTCCCCTTTATCTGAGATTTTCCTTACTCCATATCTCTCTTGCTATGTATTCAAGGCCAAAATTATCTTTCTTGTCTATACAAATATTCAAGGTTCCTATGGAACATGTGGAGAGCATAGAATTGAAATTTAGAATTCCAGTATAGGATCTATTCAATGCAATTTCCTTGAGCAAGCCAATTTTATAAAGAATCTTCAATTGCTGAAAACTCCTAAATTAAGTATAGAATTGTAGAATCTGGCCAAGATTTGTTTTTGGAGATTAGCTGTGTCATGGCATGTATGTTTCACTTTTCCCATTTTCCTGGTCTATTGGTTTCATCTCAAAGTCTTTTTCGTGCACTGTTGGGTTTTCTGGTTCGTTTCAACTTATGATTTTGTTTTCACTTTATTCTTTCTTTTGTGTTCACGCCCTCATACATGGTGTGTGTGTAACAGCCTCCTGGAGGAGGGTTGATTACAAGGGGGCTTCAATAATTTTTTTCTTATTTTAACAACTTTTATCTGACGAAGGTCTTGGATATGTTGCACTATGTCTTGTGGTGTTCTAATATCAACGCATCTTGCCATGATCCAGGGGATAGTTTTGCTCATAATTTTGATATCTGGTCTTTGCTGTATGATGGGAATTGACACACCAACAAGATTTGAGACGCCACAGGAGTCATGATCTGCTCTCTGTTCAAGGTGATAATGGTTGCGAACTTGGCTCTGCTGGGGTACTGTTTTAATATTATATTAGATCTTCCTGTTAGAGTGGTCTGGTTTAAGTTTCAATCTTGTGTCATTATTGATTTATACCTGGGATTCTGTTATGTGGTTAAATAATCAAATAATTTGCATCCGGTATATAGAATCCAATCTAGGTTTCAGTTATGAACATGTACTGCGGGTTATGAACTTTTTGTAGCAAGAAGAAATTTGAAACGCATTTTGATAGTTCAATTTAATTTACCAAATTGAGCTTGTGTCTTCTACGCAATTGCTTTATGATTTGTTTTCACTTGTACTTAACTACACTTCACATGAGGTTTATCACAAGTCAACCACGTTTAGAACTGGTAATATGGGCTAACTGCTACCCGCAGTTGAGGTGACATGTAAAATGACTTTTGCAATTAAACACTTGTTTTGCAATGTTAAGCTCTGGAGCAATTATCAAGGAGCGAAAATGAGTTTCTGCTGTGTGTTTTACAGATCCATCCTGCAAGACTTGCATATTTCTCCGATTCCAAAATTTCCATACAGCAAAGTCCAGTTTAACTACGATTAATGGCAAGCTGTTTTTTTCACAATGAGATAAACCCATTCAGGGAGGCTTTTAGTGAAAAGTTTATTTCACCACGGTTTTTTTTTTTTTTTGGTGGGTAGTCAAAATCTTGTATGACATTTAAATTGTCTCACAAACTCAAATATGTCAGGAATTTCCTAAATCTTTAAGCTCGGTCAAGAAATTTTTTAAGTTTATTTGAGTTGGCTTGTTAAGCTTGACTCGAGTTATGAGCTCTACCCATTTGCCACGTCTTGCATTTGTAGGCATAATCCAAAGAAAAACTCTAATTCTCTGGACACCTTTCCATTTCCATAGAGAATTAAGGCATTATATATATATATATATATATATATATATATAAGTTAAGATTGTCAGCCAATTTTATTATTTGGGAGAATCATAATCAAGTTCTTACAATACTTGTTATTTAGTTCTCTCATTGTATCTGTAGATGTTATGATATTTAACTGTATTATGGGAATCTAAATATAATTTTCTCATTTTATTTTTTTAAATTCCCACCTTAATTCACGTGATTTGATTAAAAGGTTTTTACATTGAGGATTAGATGAAGTACTCCTCCTGTTAAAAAATATAAAGTATTTTTTGAGGAGTTGAATGTTTAAAAATATAAGGTATTTTTAATCTTTTAAAGTGTAATCATTGCTCTCTCTTTTTTCCAACAATACCTTTATTGATAATGACTTTATATTTATTATAAGATGTTTAATAGAGGTAAATATAAAAAGATAGAGTTAATTAAAAAATAGATAATTAATTTATTAGGAGTGAGATTTGATTAAAAATATTTTATATTTTTGAATGAAGGAAGTATTATATTTATTTAGTCATCACAAACACACATATCTCACTAATATCCAGACCATAATAGGATGGGGCCTAGCCACGTGACAATTGTTGCCGTGACAATTATTACAATATTAGAATTTTTCCCATTTTTAACAAAAAGCCTACGGGTAAGCTGTTTGATTACATAATTATAGGATCTCATACCTTCACATTTAAGTAAGGTAATCAAAACTAGATTAATTATTAAACTAATTAAGCCACTATTGATTTAAGAATTAATTGTTAAAACTGTACTTAAATCATAATTAAACTGGTCATGAACAAAATATTTCATTTTAGTTAAGGTACTAGTTTAATATTTTATGGATTCATATTAACCTGGTTTTCAATACTATGCATGTAGGTGATCAAGAATACTCACTCTATCCGATAGCATACCAAGAAATTGAAATTCCTTAAATAAAACACAAAAGAAATCAGGAAGAATGACATTTAAGGCTTTATAAAGGAAATTTATCATAATAAGGGTCCATAAATTTTACATTGGATATTATCGTATCAAACATCTATATGTTATTATTAAAAACTGAAACTATTTATTCTTTGAGTTATTTTTAAGGAATTGCTTGATATGAAGGATGGAAGCTGTTGGAAAAGCAATGAAAATAAAAAAAATAATTTTTTCAATTTAAAAATAATTTTCTGGCACAAAAAATTTAAAAATAATTTTCCTTGAATAAGAAGAAGAAAATAAAATTAATGATAAAAAGCTTTAACGAGAATCCAATAAATAAATATTTTAGTTATTTTTTGTGTGATAGAAAATGAAGAATTTTTTTCCCCCTCTTACCGAGCATGCACACGTGTAGAATCAAACGTTTGGGACCACCAAATGACACTTGGGTTCTGGACATTTGGCTCCCTGTTCTTTCTTTAGACAAGATTTTGGATTTGAAGAATATTATAAATAGAGGAAAATACTTTTTTTGGGGAAAAAAAATCATCTTCAAATATTAGTTGGCATATAACAATTCTGACAGTGAATTCTCGCGTGTGAAAATTTCAATTTTTTACTCTAACCTTGTGAAATTTAACTTCTCATAAAAGGGGTGAGAAGTATTTTTCATCACTTCTTCTTTATTTCTTTTAGCATTTTCATGACAGAAATTTTTGAGAATAGTCAAGAAATTAAGAAAACAACTTTGTTAGTTAAATTCTCTGAGGAAACACGCTGATAGCATATATTTATTGGTTAGATGAGACTTGTATTTGCCACTCTTTTAAAATTATCATTAATATTGCACAGGGAAAAATAAGAAACAAGAGTTTTTTAATTATAAAAAAAAGAAACAAGAGCTTTTTTTTTGTCAAAAGAAACAAAAAAATAAGGACTTGTTTGGTTTTTTTCTTTTCTGTGTTTAGAAATTATTTTGCAAACTAATTTTTAAAAATTATTAAAAAATTCCATTTAATTATGTTAATTTAAAAAAAAAATTTAAAGTTAAAAAAGACCAATAGTGGTGGTCATCAACAGCTAATGATGATGGTCTAAGATATATAGTAGTTCACTATAATTAAAGATAATTTACATTAGTCAAATATAATGTAATTTAAAAATAAAAAAATGAAAATAAAAACAGCTTTAAGTTGTTTCAAAAAAGAAAACAATTTTAAAAATATTTAAATTCAAAACACTTACACAAACATTTATATAATGCGAAGACATCATATATATCAATAATATCATCATTGATAATATCAATTTCACATAACGAGGGTTCAGATTATAGTAGTCTAAGACCATAAATGGCGGTACGAGTGAAAAGGGTAAACACAAGAAAATTTTGAGAAAGATGATTAATTAAGAAGATGAGAAAATAAGCCACAAATAATAAAGTCAATAAAAACATTTATGTATATTGGGAAAAAATATACCCACCTATTATTAATAGATGCCATACTTCATTTTCTGGTGAAACGTGTTTTGGGCCTAGGTATTCTTTGGTGTATGATCAAAGACTAATAATCTCTTTTTAAGTTATAGAGATCCATGAAGTCACTCTTACATGTCTCAACAATATCAATGAAGCCAATTTTTATGCTCATTATTTAGCCACTATTCTAATGCATTTAACTGGATTGGTGTTACCTACAATTTTGTTTAACCTCCACATTATTGTAGGAAGGTGGTGGATGAAGAAAAGTGTTGACTTAGCTTCTGATTAGGACGCGTTGTTACTCTCTTGAGTAATGGATATTTCTTCATTAAGAAAAACAATACTTCTTTTATACATATAGCCAAGCATCTCTCTTACTGCATGTTTTGGGGATCCAACTATCAATCAATTAGTGGAGAGACTTTTTTGGTAGACTTGAAATTTATTGTTTTTGCTAAGTAGTGCACTGAAATATTTTTAAGAAAAAATTAATCAAGTTTTTATACTATTTTTATCCTAAATTATAATACACTTTTGTAAGAGATTTGACGTCTCAAAATATGAGACACTTTGACAAAAATAAAGTTTGGTTAATGATGCTTTTATAATATTACCTTTCCCATTATATTATTTTTTTAATATTTTTTATAAATGGAGTATTAAATGAAAGGTATTTTTGAAAGTTTGTACTTTTATTTCAAAAAAATAAAACAACAATGTGTATTTAATGAGTTTTATTGGTATGTATAATTTTATCTAAAAGTATTTTGTAATTTGAAAGGGAGGGAGTAGTTTATTAATCCCTTAAAATTAAAATTATTATAAATGAAGGATTAATTTTCTCAAAACAAAAATATTTTTATAGTTTATAGAAAATTTGATATAATATCATGTTTACATTAATGTTGAATTTTTATGAAAATTCTAGATATATAAACAATATTTAGATGATACAACCTAATTATATGAATTTTGAATTTTAATAAATCTAATATATTTAATTATAAGAGTTTTTGAGTTTTAATAAATATAATGGATCTAACTATAAAGGTTTGATTAAAATAAATTAAATTATGAGGACATAATTTAAAATAAAAAAATTATAAAGACCTGTAAATTAATTTTTTTCCTATTTTTAAAGAAAAGTGGCAATTTCAACACCAACTAAGAAAGATATTGGTAATTTAGTTTTACGAATAATTTTGTGTTCATAATAATTTTAGGAATGACCTAGGAGTTACTTACTGGTAAATTCACGCGAAATTGTTGATTTTAACCTTTTAGGAATGTAATTTATTAAATTCATGGGATTAAAGTGACAATATATTCCTTAACTGGTAAATTGTTATTTTTCTATTTTTCACTAATTGTTATATGTGAATGGTTTGAATTTTTGAAATTTGAGAAATGTGCCGCACTATTTATATTTTATAAATAATATATTTCACTATATTTTGTATTTTATATTAATAGTTATTCTCTTAACTACATTTATGCCACTGGACAGGATGTATGTATACGTGTAGCGCAATTTTTTTCGGCCATCTATGAAATGCAATTATGTTATTCAATTAAAAAGGGATAAATGATTCAGACATTAAAACATATAGGTGAAATAATTTCTAAATTTATAATTATTTTAAGGATTAAATTTATTATTAAGTTTTATGTAAAAATTAAAATGCTAAAAAGTGAATATAAAATTATTTAAAACCATAGGTTTTCCAAACTAATAGAATTCAATAATATAAATAAATTTAATAAATAGTTAGTACTATAATTTAAAACTTTTCAAGTGAATTTTGGAAAATATTTAAATTATACTTGGCGGAAGGATTCATTGAAAATGGAAAAACATTGCATTGATTTATTTTTAATCAGAAATAAAGTAATTAATTTGATGGCCCCATAATCCTTTTTGAAATTCTCCACCCACTAAGGAGCTAACGT